TTGTAGGAAGAAGGCCAGAGTTGGATTGTAGCAGAATAGTTGTGTAATATTGTATTGTCAGCTGTTTGAACCCAGCCGATGCCCATTGTACATCGTTCTGTAGTAATATCATTAACTGATCCATCTGTATAAAATGTAAATTGTGTATATCTTGAGTTGTTTATTGCAATTTGTTGTAGGATTTGTGAAGATTGGTTGTTTTTAAAAATCTCAAATATTGCATTATTGTAAATTGTAACTGTTGGTGGTCTCGGTATTGTAATTGGGTAACGTAAAGCAATGGAGTATATGGAGTCCAGTATGTTGGCATGAAGATTGAGTTTATTAGAAGTGTTGTTGTTTATTTTTCTACATAGAAGTTTGTTAGATAGGTTAGCTGAGATGTTAAGTGTACATGTGTTTTGAATTCGGTTGGAGTTTAGTAGACATCCTGTACATGGCTTGCAGGTGTATATAGGTGGTGGATAAAGATTAGTATGTGAGTAGTCAAATTCAATCTGCCAGTGTGTAACTGATATTGAGTTGTCGTGCTGGTTGTATCTTCTAGCTTTTCCTAGAATTATGTTGTTATTATTGTTATAAGAAATTAGCCAAGGTTTTGGTTTAGATTTGTAATGTCCAGTATTAAAGGATAGAGTATTTGTGCTTGGTAGTTGGAGTTGAGTATTAATTAATCTAGTTTGTTGATCTGTAATAATATTGTTTTCTAGTACTGTAAACCATAGTGGTTTTCGACCTTTGGGTATGTGTTGTAGCCGAGGTGAAATGTGTAGCCAGTCGAGTAAGACTGTATTATCATATGATGTAAGTTGTTCAAGGTATATGATATTTTTTGTACGTAGTTGTTTCTTGAAAGATAGGTATAGTTTGTGTGAGTTTAAAATTTTTTCGATAGATGTATAAGGATATTGGAGAGTATGTATTTGTGTAAAGTTTGGGTGGATATTTAGATTAAGTTGGAGTTGGTTCAGTAATAGTATTATTTTATAAGTAGTGGTATTCTTGTTTGGTCCATCAATTAGGGGTTGTGGGTGTTGAAGAATATTGGTGGTTGACCATAAGTTGTTTTGCAGTTGTTGGAGTCTTATATGTGTGCTAGTACCCATGAGGTTTTGGTCATTAATTCTGGATAGAAAGTTGGAGATGTGATGTTGTAGTTGTATGTCCCAAATATTTTTAATTCTATATATGTTATGATTAAGCATAATGCTGTTAGGTGTTGTGATAAGTAATTTGGCTTTATGTTTGGCTGTAGTGAGGTATGAAGATAATATTGAGTTGTAGGTAGTTCTTGGAATTACTAAGTTGTGAATGTGATATTTGATAATTGGAATGATGATATTATTAATAATGTAGCTAGCTTGTTTATCTGTTATATTTTTAGTCTTAAGTATGTCATTAAGTCTTGATGCCTCTTGTTTGATAAGTTTGATATGTTTACTATATTTAAGAGTAGCTATAAACCAGTAGCCTAGAAATTTGAATAGTGTATATATAGGTTGTGTATGAATAGTTTGGTTCATAAAGTTGATTTGAGATGTTGTGTTGGTGTTAGAGATTAAAGTAGATTTTTGTGGATTATTTTCATATCTCTTTACTTGTGATAACTATTAATTATTACTTTAAAAAATTAAAACCAGTGATGGTTTCAGCTACTGCAGAAGATATTTAAAGTCTAATCTAAAAATGTGCAAAATATAGAAAGATTAAAGAAGTACTATATATATTACACCTAGAATAATCGATAGTATGAGAATTTTATTAGGTTATCTATAAAATTAGAGCACAAATAATATAGCAGATGTTGATTTCAGTGGCCTTCAATTAAAACAGCACAAGGTTATGGGCTGGTATGATTGTAATAATGATACAGGATAGAAAATATCAGAGAATTTAAATGAGTAATTTCCTAGTTAGGTTATAAGTATAGTATATAGTATAAAACTTTCAGGCAGACTACTTAAATAGGCAACCAAAAGTTACATATATAGCTAAATATAGCCTCATTAATCAAGAATGTACTACTAAAATACCTAATAAAAATTCGTCTTTTCATGACATTATAAAGGTAAAAAAAAAAAAATTTATAATTTTTAAACTTTTGAAAATATAACAAAAAGTTGTATAAGCTTTTTAAATTTTATAATATAAAAAAATTAACTTATTAATCAAACTATAACTAAAAAGACAAAAAGTAATTATATATTTTGAATAATTAGAAAACAAGTTGAAATAATTGAAATACAAATATTGGTTAAATAAAAAGTTAAAGCAAAAAATATTCAAAAACTATTCTAAAAGTTAGTAATAGTATAATATTAGATTATAAGATTATATAGACTGAAAACATCTTGAAAAGATCCAATAAAATAATACCAGCAGGTGATATAGCCAAAAAAATTTGAAATTTTGAAATTTTTATTTAAAAAATATATTTGGTCTTAATTCTTTAGTTTTAAAATTTAACAATTATAATACATATTAAACATCACTATATAGAATGTTTGGTAATTTATTTTTTAAAAAGCATACATATTTATGGTATAATAGACAGTCTAAATGTTTAAGAACAACCAGATTTAATTAATATAGATTTTATAATTTGTATCTAGATATACTACATAGTCTACTACGTATTATAAATATTGTATATAAATAAAAATATAATGACGACCTAGGAAATGGAAAATAAATTTTTAAAGAACTTTTGTATTTGAATATGGTTATTATTTACCTGTAGTATTGGGCACTTCTCAAATGTCTCGCGCATGATGCATGTCACAGACGGATTATACGCGAGATTATCGCTATAATTCAAATCTTCGGTATCACATATTGGAAAATGCGCGGTTGCTAGTTATTGCAAAAGTAAATTCTACGTATTGAATAGGATTATAACCGAATTCATAAGTCATCATATATTCTTATGATCTATGACCTAAATGTCATAATATATCATAAGCGAATACTAGAAAACAGACCTTAGATGATAATGAAATATTTCCAACTTATTGATTGTATATTTCCAAGTACACTTCAGGCTCAGAATTCAATGAATGGATCCTTAACCCAAAGAATTCATTTACAACATATATATCTTTGAAATAAACTTGATACGAATGTAGTATATAAAGTAGAATTGAATCAATGGTTATTTTCATGTAATGAAATAGAGAATAAATTACACAATTTTCATTGAAAAAATAAGTTTTACAGTATATTACCGTTACGCATGTAAACAGTCTTAATTTTTAAAAAAGGACAATCGATTTGCTTTGTTAATTATATTTTAAATTATCGATTTTTATAAATATCCGGTAATAAATTGTACGTCAATGAGATTCAAACATAATTGGTGTTATTATTAAAGACGTTCTAGACATAGAAGCTACTGTTTGCCTCGGCAAATTTGGAATGTGCACAAATGACATTTAGATAACGATAAGTGGAATATATTTTGTCACGTTGGAACACGGCGTAGTTTTTAGCTATTGAATTTTATGGTCAAATCATAATTTCATAATTAACGACCGACCTATTATTATTAAAGTTAGATCAGATCGAATGGGCTATACTTAATTTATAAAGGACTCTGAAGATCGAGGAAGTAAATATAAATTACATACGTACGTACCGGTACGCACTGGTATCTTATTTCGGAAGATTTATATAAAAAGGTAGTGAACGGCCGCTGATTTTGTCATATTATGTAAGCCGAAAATATAATAATAAATATATAACGACATCGGTCATATATTGTACATGTAACTTAAGCACTTAACACAAACGCTCATTTCGAATTTGTACTTAAAAAGTAAATTGAATTTGGGAGACAAAAACATATCATGTAATTAAACAGATTTCCGATTTATAAATATGTTTAGATGAATATTTTAATAAATTACATTTTCTTTAGATTTCTCATGAATAAAAAATTAATTAAATTTTGGATCTTTATCACCATTTGGTGATCATTTAATATTTAAATATGTCACTTTTCTTTAATTTGTAGACCTTCTAAGACATCATTTATAATCGGATAAATTTTATCGGTAAGTTCTTTTTTTAATTTTTTTTGCAATTATTTTTTTTAAATAAATCTCGTTAATGAAATGAATAACTAAAAGTTTTTTTGCATTAATTACGCCTATTTTAAATAAACATAAAAGGTCCATGTCTCACAATTCCACCAAAATGTATGACGAAGATGACGCTAATAATGATGCTAATAATAATGGCGCTGAGCGCCTATCTCAGTCTCAAAAATCCTACGATCATTCTTCCCATTCTTCACACTCTTTCCCTTCCAACCAAAATCAAAACGATATTATTAATAATGACTCTTTACAACCTCAACAATCAAATATATTAAAAAATTCCAATAATAGCAATACAAATTTAAGCATCAACCCAAGCACTAATTCAGCTGAGAGATATAGTAAAATATTCCCGGATTTCTTCTCAAATTCTTCTTCAAATAACTCTTTTAGGAATTCTATTTCAAAACGTAGTTCTAATATTATACACCCTTATCAAACTCCTACCCAGAGAAGAGATCCCGACCTTGATGATTTTAATTCAAATAGTGATCAACACGAACCCTTAAACGCTCATCAACATAAATCTTATTTGTCAACATCATCATCTCAACCTTCCTCCTTACAGAATATCCCAAATAATAATAAGAGTGAAAA